ACACTTACTTGTAGCCTATATATATTATATTCAAATTAATATTTAGGTGCATGTAAATTATTGACCTACTGTAAGTACCAGTATCACAAATTAATATCAGTACATGTCTATTGTATTTTAAACAGTCAATTAAAAAAAATTACTGTGACATTACATTTTGAAATTTTTATAAGGAAGAAAAAGCAATGTTGCAATTTCTTTTGATTATGCATTGTGCCGTCAAATTATTCAATTTTAAGAATAGCTCATTGTATCTTTTAATATGCCAAAAAATTGTTTCTACTTCATATTTCCATTATTCAAAATTATTTTACTGATTTTGATACCCAAGAATATTTTCTTGGTATTTCAATCACGGCTCTTCAAATATTTTTTAAAAGATATCTTCAAATTTAATGGAATATATCAAAGGTAACTTTATCTGAATTTTTTACACAGCATGAAATGATCATATGGGATAGTTTAATTTATAGTGTAAATTCAAGTGATTACCTGAAACTATATTTCAGCAAATCACATGTTATAAGTGGTCAATAAATTACATTCACCCTCTAAAATATGGATGTGTGAATGAATTATCCTTATAAATTTAATACAATGCTGTATTTTATATTATTTATAAATAAAACATTTTTATGAAACGAAAGTTGTATTTTTTAGTATAAACCAAACAGTGAATATGCAGAACTCTTTCATATTAGAAATTATTTGATGTTAGAAGTAATAAAAAAAAACCTTTGGAAACTTTTAATAAAAAGTCATTTTTACAATAAGCCATCAATTTAGGTTTAACAGTTGCCTATAATAACGGAAAAAGAGGGCTTGTAATACCATGACATATGACATTTTATTTCAGATTTTTAATATTAGTAGAAGTTTCCAATTATAAATATATATATATTAGGGTCACTCTGTATAAAATTACTAAATTATGCAATTTATTTATGGGGCTGTGGGTGGAAATGGAATAGCTACTCAAAAGAGATATTTGAGAATCATTCTCAGTACTTTCTTTGAGCATCTGTTCAGTTTTATCCCTGCCCATGTCAACGAGCTGAAAGTTCACATAGCAATGTGTACTGCTTGGAATTCGCATAAGAAATGATAATTTATGCAAGAAGAATGCTTTTATCTATCCAGTAGTGCCCTATACCATCTCAAGCTATTTTCATACACATTACATTGGTGAATTGATAGCTATATTCTTGAATATTGATTGATTTGAACAGTTTCAGGTAACAGAGCTATATTCCAGTAAACTGTTTTGTTTGCGAATAGGTTGAATCTTTGATTAAGTCAAATTATTACATCCACGTGTTTAACCACTTAACTGAACTACTTGCACTTAATGACCTAGCCTTCTTTGGGCACCCAACATTGTCCAAGGAACAGAATATAAGAATATGAAAAAGTCAGAAGAACTAATAAATCACTGTTGGTTGTGCAGTTGAAAATCAGGAGTTTCTGATCTTTGTGAGAAATTGAAAGTCTGTGTTAAAAATTCAATGTAAAACTTATTTAAATGAGTTTTTTCCACTTTATCCAAATGTTCAAAGAATAAAATTTTGAGATTTTTAATTTGTTAAAAGAAGATAAGTGCAAAAAATATTTCAACATTAAAGGAATCACTCTTCATTTTTTAATAATAAATACTTGGTAATGTAGGTATGTAAGCTAAATCCCCGATACCTCTATTTACAATGCATCAACACCTTTACTGCCAATTACACACTGGCACATGATGTTGTGGTATTATCTAATACATGTGCATTGTGAATATAATGTTAATATTTTGTTTTCATATTGGTTTCCATTATATCTTAAAGTATGTGTAATTGTATCAGTGTGGTAGTAAATGTAATATTTTTGTTTTGTTTTTATGAAAATTTGTTTCAAAACTTTCTTATAGTATGAGTGACACAAATAATAATTTACCACAGCCTTCTCATCCATAATGAGCTACATGCGAGTACTAAAGACTTCAAAAATAGAAAAACAAAAACTTGCAAAATATTTAGAAGCCAATTTATCACACAAGTGCAAGATTGCATTCAATCCCTTGGGAGAAGAAAAATATGTCTTTGATGCAGATGATTCTGAATATTTGGATAATTATAGTCATGCAAAAATTTCAATGCAGTAAGAATCTGTTTTACTAGAAAATGTAATTTGGGAAGATGAATCAGTACTAATGAAGCTCTTTCCTTATATTTGAGTGGCGTCTGGCAAAATTTCGTATACTACCCTGATAGTGAATATGTTAAAATAACAGCAGGTCATTCCATTTTACTTGACGAAATATTTCTCATTCCAAATCTTTAATGAGGAAAAAATGAAGATTTTAAAAAATACTAGTTCATATGATATTTAACTCCTTTAAATAGTATTTATTAGTTTACCAAATTTAAAACACATAATAATACAGGTTCATTATTAACATATGCATTATGATAAATCACGGAGCTACCTAGTTAGTTACTCATATTAGTGCCCTATCTAGTTATACTCATAATGTGACTATCATTGGCTTAGGTTATTTTTAACCTGAACAAATTTTATGTATTATGTATAATATATATATATTAATTATATATACAGTCAAAAGTCATTAATTCGGACCTCAAAGCTAAAAACTTTCTGCGCATGCGCACAGGCGTTTACACGTGTGCATAAGACCTTTACGACTGCGCATATGCGTGTGCGCACGCGCAGAATATGTTTTCGCGTGCGCGTTTTATGTATAACGGACGGTATAAGCTAAAATTATCTATTTCAGTTAATGTTGATGATTGCGTTGTTCCTTAACCTTAGAATTGGATCCGGCTTATTATTTTTTGCAGACTGTAAGAGCAATTTTATAAAAACAAACCTGAACTTTCGATTATGTCAAATAGAATTTCCGATGCTGGAGCTCCCAAAGGATCTACAAAACGAAAGTATGTTTCGATGTCCATCAAAGAAAAAGTGGAATTGCTGCAAAAAATGGATAAGATATGAAGAATGTGACAGAGAGGTTAGTGAAAATGAAAAAATTTCGATTGACAAGTTAGTCGGTATTCTCGGCACAGCAATTACGGGACTTGAACAGCGGAACTTTGTAACTGAACAAGAAATTATGTCTGTTTATAGAATTAAAGAGAAAGTAAACACATAAAACGAAGCAACTTAAACAACTTACATTGAACGAAATGTTTAATAAAGTAAACAAATAAATATTAAGCTTTTTTTTTTTTGTAAATTTTGATACCCTTTAGATCATAATTGTTCTTTATTTCATAAATTGCAGTTTCATATTTTTAATTTTAGAATTTCTGCATGCCATCTTACAAGATTTAAACTGATGATCTATAATCCGGAATCGCCGAAGTCCCGATGAGTCCGGATTAACGACTTTTGACTGTATATGTAATAATAAAAGCACAATGAAAAGCCGGAGCAGTGTCGATGCTTGCTTAGATCCATATTGAAGAAGAATTTTGATTGCGTAGTATGCTAATAATGTTAACTTGGTAATATTTAAGAACTTGGCAGTCAATGCAGTTTTAATTCCATTTTTATTTGCATTTGATATTTGTGGCCACAATCACTCGACACTCTAGTCGTGCCTCTCCACAGAAGATTTACAAATGACGCAGTTAAGACCTAAGCACTATTATTAGTACAGATAGATGAAGTTCCCAAATGAAATAAAAAATATAAGAGGTTATAGTGAATTAAATTTAGAAGTTTGCTTTCATATTTTTTAGCTTACATATATATATATATATATATATATATATAATTATTCGATTATGCATTTCATAAATATTTTTAAAGATGATAATACAACTGGCATGAATGGAAAAATTAACTACATATATGGCAATGAATGTAGCCAATAGCTTATTTTCAGTTTTAAAGCAATCAGACTTATTTTGTTATAGTTTAATGAAATTGCATTTGTTGTAACCAATACTAAGAAAAATAAAACGGCTTCATTGTTGATAACTGTCTTTTTACAAGTATATGCACAGTAAGTTAAACACTTTTACTCAGCTTTGACCATTTATTTGTCTGCAAAAGTGATACCACTTGTATTAAATACTTTTGTTATAGTAAAGAAATATATTTAAAAAGTCTTAAAATTATTAACTTATTTTTTTTTGCCATTCTGCATAATTTTATGCTGCAAAAAAGCACTGAAAAACTGCTGAAAATCATGTATGAAGAGCTTAAAAAGTACTTGAACCTATATATTGATATTTATGCCAAGTCCGAAATTATAACTATATGTATATGTACAACTCATTAACATAAAATAACAAGCAAGACAATACACAAATAACTCAAATTTATTACATTTTAATGAAATATTAATTACAGTAATTGAAAGTCACATGTTTAATTAATAATATGTGAATATGAATTAAATAAAATTCGGTTGGCATAAAAAATTAACATAATCTTAAAGATTTTGACTAAGACTACAGTTAAAATAATTGAAAAATATCACATATATTTTCATAAAAATACTTTTGTTGAAAATCAAAATAGAGTATTTGATTTTGCAGGAATGATGTGCGTAGAAAAGATGGCAAGCACGTTTAGCAAAAGTTATCAAAAACAATACAGCACAAAGAAAAAAATTATTTTCTTATAAGCTTTAAACGATGCCTTTCAAATATATAAATATTGATTTTTATGTAACTGTCACACACTTTTCATATAAGAAAGGTAAACTAATATTTTGCTGTAAAGTTTTTGATAAAACAAATAATAGAAAATGTGGCAAGTAAGCAGATTAAGTTATGATATATGTACAATGTTATTTACAGAAATATACCTAAATTTATAAATACAATTAGATTCTATATGGCAAAAAGTCTAAAATACTACTTCCTAAGGGAAAAATCCCTACATAAGTTTTAACCCTTATAATCTAAGTTGCAGGAAAAAGCTGTTGTATAAGAACTTAAAGTAATTAATAGTGCTGCAGTTAAAAAAATTAAAATGCTTGTGTGCATTTGTATTATTAAACACATTCAAGATAAATTCTCATAAATTTCAAATAACTGAATAATATTAATGCAAACTGAGAATGAGGCAGATAATTCTTCAAAGAAATTATTATATATCCAAACATTTAAAAAAGGAGAAAAGGAAGATTAATAAATTATTTTTAAATAATGATTTATTAGTATGGCTTTCAAACATTGTAAAATTTAAAAATATGATGAGAATATAATTTACAATTCATAAAAAGCTCTTAATTACTATGCAGATAAAAAGACTTGTATGAAAAATTTATGTATTTATTATATTCAAAATAATAATCATTTTCCCAGTAATTATAAATATATATGCATATATACAATTAAAATACTGTATATTATATTTATATTATATAAATTATATATTTAGAATTTATTTAAGAAGTTCACAAACATAAAAATATTTTATTAGATATAATACTGTTTTGGTTATAAAAAAACTGTAAAACACATTCTTTTACAAGTAGACATATTTCATGTGAAACAATGCCTATACAGACCTCGAGTACACACTTTATAAATCAATACATAAATTGCTAATCATATAGTATGCAATCTACCACTTTTAGTCATTAATTTTTTAGATGACAGTACTAAAATTGGTTGTCATTTTAATTATTTTCTTTTCTCTCCATTTTATCAAAGGTTTGAATTTAAAAAATAACATTTTAAGAAAGAAATTAATAACTAACTAAAATCAGTAGATTGCATGCTACATGATTAACTATTAATATTTTCGCAGTTTTTTAATATATAAATACCTTGGCACTTGAAATACTGTAATTATTTATGATCAAGTTGAAACAACTTATTTCTGGATCTAAGATTACAGGGTCAAAACATACAGCAAAATTTCTTAGTTAAATACTAAAGTAGATATTAACTTCGTTGGAAGGATTATATTTTGAAATTTTACAGTAATAAGCATATAACTTTAGGAAACTTACAATTACTTCTACGAAGACTATATGGCTATTCAGTATTAAAAGTGTGCTCCATGTTAATATATTGTGCCATAGTAACTAAGTAATAGCATTACATGAAGCATATTGAAACACTGCAATAAAATTATTAATAAAGTTATTTGGCCTACCGAAAAGCAGTTTGAATGTGAACTGAATATTTATGGCATTTCATCAGTTTGTTTTTTAACAAATCAAAGTTTGATAACTCATAAAAATCACATTACATACCTAAACTCTCCAAGGAAGACCAAGATTTAATTCCCGTACCGTGAAATTCATGGAAATTATGTAAAGAATTTTATAGCGAAGAGCATTGTAAACTGTGTTACTCTTCAGTTGTTCTTAAAAAAGTCATTTCACAAGGATATAGGGATCAAATTTTAAAAAGTGTAATTTTTTACACAGTAAAATTCATATAGAAACCATAAAGAATTATTTCAGTTTTTTGTAATTTTATAAAAATAAGTTTAATTAGCAAATATGCTCCAATAAGGGTTAAAAGATGAAGACTATAAGAATCTCAATTTTTAAAATGCAAAAATGCATAGTAAAGTAATGAATCTCTGCTCCCAAATAAATTTTTCACAGAATTTTGAATAACTCATTTATCAAAATTTTTTACAAATGTTCCATTTTCATGAAGTAGCAAGCTATTAAACTATTATGCCTGTTGAAGATATTATTAATTATAATCATGAATTAGAAATTCTTTCTTACATTGAAATGTATAGTAATCATTATATTAATTCTTTCTCAGAGACTGAAGAAAGCAGAAACTTTGATGATAAACCAAAATTAAAAGTTACAGAAAAATATTCTCAATATTAAAAAATTTCAGTTAACAAAATCTTGGGCAAACTCTACTTGAATATACTTGGGATTCTACATGCAGAGATATACGCATAAATATATATAACAAAGTTCGCTGGATAATACTGTATATATTAGTAATTAATTTTTTATATACAACTAATACTGAAATATAAATAAAATGGAGAATATGCAGTAGTACATTAGAAAAATGTTGCATATATTGAATGATACAAATTCATGGAAGCATTCATAACAGTAATTTTAATGGAGAATTAGATGAAATATGGATAATATATTTTGTTTGTCATTTTATAACATTTTATTTCACCAACAGATACGCTGTGTGAAAAATTAATGTAATCAATAACAAAAACAGTACTTTAAAGATAATGGCTTATAATTTTTCTAAAATAATATATTTCCAAACATAGAACAAAAATGTAGAAATTTATCAAAATTTTGGTCTATTATATCAAAAATATAAATTGCATTTCTAAAATAAATTACTTTCAACAGCGTGAATGCAATTATTTGCAGGGATGATAAAATGATCTTGAAAATCATGGGAGTATAAATTATTTTGTATGCAAGGAATTTGACAAAAGCAATTTGGGGCATGACCTCCATAAGTTGGTGATAATACTGATTTTGGCTTATTGAGGAAGATATATAAAGTAAAGAAAATCAGCATCATTCACACATAAGGCAAATTTACCTTGTCAGCTTAAAAAAACTGACATACAGAAAATTTTAAACTATAGAAATTTAATTAGTCAAGTTTCTAACATTAGAAACACATACAACTAACCTCAATGGGGGGGGGGAAATATTCCCATTTAGTTGGTTGAAAAAGACATATCCAAAAGAAAAGAATGACATGCAATAACTTGATAATGTAAATGGAAAATTCACATTTATAAAGTTTGATGCTACAATTATTAAGTACTAAATGATTAATTTTCATGTATATTGCAAATATTGGCAACTGTAAATTACATCCTTTTCTGAAAAGATTTAAATGTAACATATAATTATGTAATATCCATCATGAAATGCAAATAGAATGTTAAATATTAATAATAACTAGTGATTAAAAATTCTAAATATTCCACTAGATTTCTACTTTTTTAAATGTTCTAATCTAAGATGGACAGCATATGTATTTATCTCAAAAAAATATACTGTAGAAATTTAAGAAAGATGTGCAGCAAACATTAAAGAAACAAAATTAAAGATGACAGGATCTTGAACATCTATTTTTTACTTGATTGCATAATTGAGATAAGTTCAAAAACTGGATATTTTCAATCTCTTAGGGCACCATTGATTGTCACCATCATCTTGCGAGAACCTAAAATATGGTCAGCAAAAATATAATCCAATAAACAGCAGTACACAATTCTAAGAACCTGATACACTAAAGGGGAAACTTTTGGAACTATCAAAAAAACCATACTATAAAAATTCTTTTTTTTTTTTTTTTTTTTTTTTTTTCATTAATATGAATTCTTAAAAAGAGCACAATATTGAAATCAGTTTAGTCAGATGAAGCATTCAGTGCATACATTGATAGAATAAATACATTTTATAATATTATTAAACTGTGTAAATACATATTTTAAATAATAAAGATTATATAAAACTTAAAATGTTTCAAATAAAAATTATAAACTACTAAATTTTCCTTCTTCAAAATGTTAAAAAAAGTGCAGTACGTGTTACTCTTTACTTTCGAATAAGCATGTGTTTAAATCAAATAAATTGCATTAAATTACAGCTCACTAATAGCTAATATGATATGAAACTTTCAGAAATGAGGTTTTGTAATTTACAGGATTAACCCTTGATTTCAAAATAGTCAATCTGGAGATGTTAAATGGCCATAAACAAAATTAAAATATAAATAAATTATACTTAATTAAAAATAAAAAAATAATTATTGAGGAACAAATTACCAGCTCTATTTCTATGTTCACACAACCAAACTCCTTGCCAGCTTCCTAAATTCAATTCTCCATCAGTTATCGGTATAGTCAAATTTGATCCAAGGAAACACGACTTGATATGAGCTGGCTATAAGTAAAAAAAGTACTTAATATTGTATTAAAAATTCCCTTTATTTGATAACTATACATTTTCGCATAGAATGTTCTATAAAGATTACACAGTTTGTATTTCCCTAGAGCTGACTACAAACCCATGATTCCAATTCAAGAAATGAACAAAATAAGGTAGACTTTCAGACTATAATAATTTCAGTCACTGGGCAGTAAGAAAACATTTACAAAAATTAAAAATTGTATATGAGTTCACTTCAGCTTCTTTCCATTTCAGTAACAAAGTCTCAAATAAAAGCAGCTGTTCCTCAGCCTACTAATGATATTTCAGGGGGAAAAGAACGTGGTTCAAATTATTCAAAACTGTCAGCATATAAAGCTGTTAATATTAATTAACTTATGTGAAGCAAAGAAAAGTTGCTTAGGGATTAAATATAACTACACGTCATTAACTATAAGCATTTTAATTTCAGGACATTCACAAACGGTAATTTAAAATTTTGATTGATATCTTGAGTAATTTTAGAGTATGAGGATGAATAATTTCTATTTACATAATTCAACAATAAGTAACATTTTCTCTATGGAATTCATATAAAAAATTAAAATTTTGTATTTTTTTGCTGCAGGTTCAAGAATAACACACATGACCAAAAATATCAACACGAATTTCCAATTCCACAATGTGGAAACATTTAATGAATTAAAAATAAGCATACACAAAGACACGTGGAATATGTAAGCTCTGTTGGAAAAAAAAAAAAAAAAAAAAAGTTCAGTTTCCCCATGGAGATAAATTTGTAATGCAGAATACCTCTTTTTCTGCACTTTTTATTTAAGTACAATCTGTTACTGAATGCCTCTGGTCACGCTTTGGTTTTGCTTACAGAAATGGTTCCCAACAGCTAAATTGCTAAGAAATACTTATATGCAAGGATGAAAGTGACTGCCTTTCTATTGACGAAAGCAACAGCACTGATGAAAACTGTATCCAACTATTGTTATTTCTTTTTAACTTTGCAGCTTCAGATATTAAATGCAATCCGTGTCCTTATTTTAAAAGTTTCAACAGGTTTCATCATAAAAGAGCTCAAGAGCTAATCATTTAAAACTTAAAAAAAAGGGGGAAGTTCCACACGATAATTTTTTAGTGATTGATGTAGAACAGAGATCTCCAAACGTTTTTGATTGTGTAACCCTAAGACAAAAACAATTATAAGTTGTATTCCTTGTAATATAATATAATGTAAAATATTATATAATAGTATTACATTTTATTATTAATATAATATATAATGCATCATAATATCATATATATGTTTGTTTTGACACAGTAACCAAGAAGCTCACGCTCAGGTGATTGTGAGCCTACTTCTTTGGTGTAGCCCCCCAAGTATCACCTGGCATACACCACACTGAAGACCACCAGTGTATGCATGCACCAAGAATGGTAGGCTTGAAATTGATGTTTCACGTGTCTTGGAAAAAAAAAAAAAAAAAAAAAAGCTCAGATTTGCAGATTATGGGGTGTAACTGTCACCTATTAAATTTCGCAGCTGAAAAAAGTACAGCTTCTTCACAAATAATTATAAGTGTCATTGTCAATATTTATAACAACCTTGAAAAGAGTTTTAAAAGCAAAGAAAACTGAGACAATACCAAAGCTTCATAATACAGAAATAACAGACACTTTGAAGCACATATGTACACTGTGCAAAAGAAAAAAAAAGGGGGGACAGTTTTACATCTCCGGTTCTACTGGGTCGACTGACGAAATTCAAATTGCGTTTTTCATGTCTTGAAAGCGTGACTTAGGCTATATAAATTAGATTTATGCATAGCATTGTTCTAACATAAAGGTATTTTGACACAAAATTGGACTTTTTCTGAAATAACATACCAATTTTTTTTTTTATTATTTCAATTATATGACTCAAATTATGCAAAAATATTAAATTTTGTAATATTTGGTACAAAATTTGGTGCAGAAATTCAAAAATTTATCTTTGCAAATTTTTTCAGTTTGCGCCAAGAATAATTCACTCGGCGAACTTCTTAATATATGGCAACAAATTATCCTTTTCCTTCCATTGTAGAACGGGAAAAAAAGGTACACCATTCTTACTTTCAAATAATTTTAACAAACTGCCTAAACCACATTTGACATTATTATCGCTTTTAACAGAGATGCCAAATTTCAAAATGCGCCAATATATAAATTTGCGTATATCTTCAGAAATTTTGAATAAAAAAATTGTAATTGTTTGCAAGTATGCTTAGAAATACATCTACTTTTAAGATGATGGTAAAAATTTTATAGACTATAATTCAAAATGTTTTTCGAAAAATTTATAAAAATTATTTTAAAATGCAAATTTTAAAAATAAATCATAAAAAATGGACGAATTTATTTGAAACGAGCCTAAATTTTGAAATGTGAAAGGAAAAATAAAAAAAGAGATATTAATAAATATATACCAAACTCAATCAATATTGAGTAGCTAAAATTTTGAGAGCTAATTTTTTAAAAAACTACTCGTGTGATTGGTAATTTAAGTCACAGAATATCAAAATATGGGAAAAAATTCGCATATCATTTCAGAAAAAGTTTGATTTTGTGTCAAAATACCTATATTAGAACAATGCTATATATAAACCTAATACATACCCTACGTATTAGTTTATATACATCCTGCTTTCGAGACATGAAAAATGCAAGTTGAATTTTGTCAATCTCCCCAGTAGACCAGGAGACATAGAACAGCCCCCCATTTTTTTTTCCCGCAGTGTACATGCTAGTTATCATTACAGAAATGTTTATCTAAAATCTCTGACTAATAGGAACCAATTTCTTACATTTTTAAGGAAGAAAAAAAATACTTTTACAGTCAAGATAAAAAGTCTATTGAAAAAATGCAATTAAAAGTATGGCTACTACTACAGTTAAAAATAATAAGAAAATAAAGTAACCTCTTTTATACGGATCAACTTAACTGGCAATTCTCAAAAGAATACAAAATAAAATAAGAGTAAAATTGATACAGAGGTCTCTCCAAATAATAATAATAATAATAAATAAATAAACTGCTCAACAATGGAAAAATTTGCTAATAACTCTAAGTCTCATGGATAATGATTATTTATGTTTTGTCTTTGTACCTTAACAAAGCTATCTGCTTTTTAATATACTTCATTTTGACTTCATTTGATATTCCCAACTTAGTTCTGCAGCAAAGAACTGCATTAATTCACATGTTTCATTCAATGATTAGAGATTTGTTTAGAGAAATTCTGCAATGTTTGTTAAACTTTTGTTTTATGATTTTATGTGTTGTGTGAATTATAGACAAACAGAAAATTAGAAAAATGCTGAAGATTTTTTAATATAAACTGCAGCTGAAAGTAGTGCAAAGACCTTCCAGATGAAGATAAAAATACATTTATTTACATGTTAGAAGTTACTTCTGACAAGTATGTGATTACATACTATAGAAATTTATAATTAAAAGTACAGTCATTTTACATGTGTGTGTTAAAGTGGCAAATGTTTCTACTCCAGCAATTGAATCTTTCTCTGATGCAAGATATCTTTTTAATAGGTTTCCAGTTTTACATCACTTGGTTTTCAAAGATGAAGGTACTGATGTTGCAACAGATAAATTGCAACTATAATTTCACATTTTACAATTAGGGAATTAAGTTACAAGAGAAACAGCAAAATTTAATATTGTGTAAAACTTCATTTGAAAATGCTGAAGTGTAGTGAACTGCATAAATTAATAATGGCCATCTCAACAGTTCCCCATTGTAATGCAGAATATGAGAGAATTTTCAGCACTGTTCTCAAAACAAGGACAAAGTATCCAGTATGGATGGATCATGGCACACTGGAAAAATCTAATGAGGTTGGGGAAAAAAAAAGGCCTACACTGCAATCATTACGAGCAAAATTATGATAATTTTTTTCAAAGAAAACAAAGTTTGCTACTTTGTTAATAATTTTATGAAAACAAAGTATTATTTTTCCATAAATTGTCTCAAATAATAAAAATATTTTTAATATATAAATATATTTTACCAACTGCATTAAAGTTTTGCAACTGTGCTATCAGACTTAATTGCAGTATAGTTTATTACTAATAAAAAAAACCTTTTGTATGTTTTTGCTATTTAAAAATTATCCTTGTCACTAAAAAAATCACCTGATTTTTGAGTTTGAAAGGTTGACATGCTTATTAACATAAAAACAAATATTCAGCCAATAATATTATTTTCAAAGATGAATCATACTTTACAAAGGAATAAGTGTCTTGAAATGAGTGAATAATTCCATACCTTTGTTGAGGAATGCTACATCTCTCAAATCAGGAAAAACTACAGTAGCAGAAACAGGTTACAATTACAGCAGAAACTACAGTTACTGTATTTAGAGAGCAGTTTTTTACAATAGTCAAATACCCATGATAGTCCTCTGTACTGTCCTTATGGTAATAGTACATTGGCATGACCATTTTTATTACCACACATTTCCAGCATGTTTTTTAATACAAAATTTGAATGAGCAATGAATGCATGCGAGAAAAGAAAGAAATCATTACAGTTTTTTGGGTACTCCCCCCCCACTTTGTATGTGTGTCTTGAAAGGTTCTACAGGAACGTACATGCTTTAGTAGGAATTTTTCAATTATGAGAGAAATTAATATTTTAGTCTATTTCCAAAAATGTCAAAATCTATATATTAGTTTTCCTCAGCTTACAAATATATTATCAAATCTGATTCATTCTATAGCGTGGAAAACGTACTTACATCATTACAACAGAATATTACAATTGGCATTGAAATTATTGACAGTTTTCGGATAACCGGCTCTTGGCGACCTCGCTACGGCGGCCGGTGGGGGCGATTTCCGCCAAACCCGGCTACCGACCCCGACAACTTTCTGCTGACGTTTAGGTTACTGTAGAATCCGGAGTATCGGGAGGGATTTAGGGAAAACTTCTGAGGGCTCATATTGAAGGTCACGTGACCATTTTCTTCGCCGGGTATCCAAAATGAGCCAAATTATTATACTGATAGCCACAAAATTAAGGGAAAATTAACAAAATAAAATATACCATATCATCTGGGCCTTCACAGGAATGTCTGAATGGAGTACTCTGAAAACAAAAACAAAAAATTTTAAACAAAATTTTTATTACAGCTTAATTACAGAATTAAAATGACACAAACCTTTTAGCTCTCTTTTTTATTTTACTTTTTATTTATTTGTTCATTTTGCTACAAAATAAAATGCTAGTGAAATTATTTTTTTTCTGATATTTAAATAATTTAAAAAATTTTTAAGAGTAATTTTATCAACAATCATTTCCTAGTTTCTACAAAACAAAGAATCTTAATATTAGATTAAAATATAAATGCTTACCTCAGGTACAAGTTCTGTTAAGAATGCTTCCATGTCTTCTCTGAAAAATACGTACTGTATATATTTCTTATGCAATTTTCATCATAAAATAATTTTAAGATTTCTAACAATACAAATTTTCTACATTTTGTTTTACACTTCGACTGTAAATCAATTTAATAATAAAGTAATCTAACTCCTGAGTCTGGTGATACACAATTCATGAACAAAACTTTTTTTGAACCAATGACAACAAAAAACCCTTTTTAACATTTATTCTTAATTTCACTCATATATTAAACAAAAGAGAATGAAGATAATTTTAGACATTTAACTAAAAATCAATAATTACAACAGTACTAAAAATATCTTGATACACCCATTCATAAAAACTTGCAGTTTATTAAGCAGGCTGTAGCTGTAAAAATGTAATAATTTTTTTTTAATGAATCTCGTATCTATTAGTTGCTAAAGTCCTTTTTAAAGTTATTCAAGAAAATTCATCCACAGCTTTCTTAATAATAGTAATAATAACCTATATAACTACACAAGATATCCATACTTTGAATTTCTGAGGTATAGCATTGATGTGACATATCTGAAGCTCATTTTTACGCTGATGACTAGCATTTGATTTTATCACAATACATTTAATTAAAAATTGAGAACCTTACTTTCTGATAGGTCTAGATATTATTTTACATTTTTGTTTATGAGAAATACTATGTTTTATTTTTAAGCAAGTGTATAGAAGAAAATTTATTTCAAGTACAACACTTATTCTTATCTATTCCTTTAAATGTTGCCTTAATGATAGTTTTAATTATGCCATGGTTGCCAAGCTCAAAGTACGAAAAACCAGAAAATACTTTTATAAAAAACTAGTAGTTCCTAGGAGGTTTTTGCACACCACGGCAGCTCCACTTCCAAAGAACACCAAATTAACTCAAATGTTGCATTGATTCAGATTATTTAGCTATTTATATGATTGACATAAAAGATATTACTATTTAATTAGGTATTCTAAATTTTATGTTTCTTGGCTAATTTTATTTTGTAATTTTTCTTAAATTCTTATGCTGAGAAAATCCCAGTAAAGCTTTAATTTATCAAAACACTTTTAAATGCAATGAAAATAAAATTAATAATTAATACACAGGCTATTTGTAAGGATAAACTAACAGTGAACCATATATTAATATAAAACAAGATTGAATACGAATATTAACTGATTAAACATTGCTGAATATTCATATAAATGTCTATAATAGATTACGGCAATTCAGATCAAACAAAATTTAATATAAATTATGCATTAGTGGGAAATAAAATTTGCCCACTTAAAGTTTCATTATTTTAAGAAATTTCATGTACTGCTAACACTTTCTTTAATGAAGGCTTAAAATTAAAATCCAGAAAATTATGTGATCTAATGGAAAACTGGAAGATGTGATAAAAAATTGGCCATCTCCCAATGTAAGCAGATGAATTTACAGTTATGTTATGCATTCCATAATTAAATATGTTACTATTACAGTCATTACACATCTCTTCAATGATTATTATTAAATGATAAAACAGTATAAAAGATTTTTAAAAGTTTTAAACTGATTTAAATATTATATCACAGACTGTTGGCTTATTTAAAAAAAAAAAAAAAAAATTTTTATGAACTTAACAATCCACTGTAATACATATAATGGGATTCTTAATAAAAACTTTATATTGTAATCTACAAAACTTTAGTAACACAAAATGAACTACCCTTTTTAAAAATAAAATACACAATGTGTCGATTATGTAAATAAGGTCTTTACTCAGCATTAATTTTCGCAACTGTTCGCCATAGACATATACTTCCAGTTACAAAAATAATTTAAAACCATGCAAATTTTCACGTTTTGGCATTTTTTAATTTAAGGATATCAGTTTTATACAAATTATGAAATTTATCTTTTTATGTATTCCTCTGCACCCTATACTTAGATAAAATCTGTACTCATTATAAAAAATAAAGCACAAAATGTGTGACTTCCACATGAAAAAATCTGATCACAATATTTGATATTAAAGTTGGGATCCTATTTAGGAACAGCACAGAAATTGAAGATGAAAATGTTTGCATGTGTACATAAATAAAAATAAAATATCAGTTTAGAAAAAGTTTTTCTGGATTAAGAGATTATGTGACGAGCATTACTATACAGATTACTGTGAAAAGCAGAGGTCAACATAATTTTTTTCAAAATGAAGATTTGATAGAACTTGTGTTTTAGAAAACACTGGGAGGCTTCAGTATAGGCGCACTGCCAACTTGTACTATTATTTGCAGTAACTAAAAATGAAAAATGCCACCCAGATGGTATACTGGTTAGAGAAGCCTACTGCAGTAACCAAGGGTTTGGGTTTGAATCCCGGAGAAGGCATGGATGTTTTCAAATGTATAGTGTCTGTGAGACATGAGCACACTCTAAATATGTGGCGAGCCAAAAGTCCTCTCGAGAGGTTGGTGGCAGGGGAAGAGGTGTTGGAGACCCTTGGACAGTCCCACCAGGGTGTTCTCCATTCAAATTGAGGACGAAATTGAGCAAAGTCGTACTGTCACTATACGATGCTAAAGGCTCTTGCCAACGATAAGCGCAATCTTGCTCTCTTTGCCAAGATGAATTTCGTACGCTTGTTCTGACGTTGCTGTCAGACAAGTTAGATAAGTCACAACACAAAAATAAATATTTATAATTTAATGAATTTTTTGTGGATTACTACATAATAATTCTAAAGTAGTAAAATTTTATGAGAATAGTGATAATGTACTTTTAGATGTTGAAAACTTATAAATTAATTGCATGAAAATTCTTTCAGCATACTAAAAATAATAAAATTATAAATTAAATCACAAAATAATATAATTGAATGGTAATGAGGGGGGGGGGAATCTACCTTGAATTATTGTTATTTATTTTTTAACCAATCCCTCAATGAAAAATGAAAATGACATGTCAAATTTTGAAATTACAATTATTGCATTATGTCTGCTGAACTGCATATAAATCGCATTGTATTTCCTCTGAATAATAAAATTAAGAGGTTTTTTTTAAGCAATCACTGGTTCCAATGTACAATTTGTTAATATCAGTTAGTGCACATTATTTTTCCAGTGGTATATGTGCTGTGAAAGATACATGTGCTGTGAAATATTAATTAACCAAACAAAAAGTTTATTCAAATATCTGGTTGTAACGAAAGTTTTCCGCCAAAAAACACTCTTTATAAAGTTAAAAAAGAAAACATGAAAGCAGTACCTTTAGAGCAGGTAGTAATCACCACCCAAATCTATGATTTTCTGCCAACGTTTTGTTAGATTTTCAAAACCTTCAGCTCAGAAACTAGGTAGCCACAAGTTCAAAAACAGATTTGGGACATCCTGTGCAAAATGGAACATAGCACTACAAAGGTGTGGCCAAAAAAATCCCATTTGAGTCCATACAGATTCCAGCTGGTGAATGCAGACACATGTGGTCTTGTATTATCTTGATGAAACATTACATTTTTGCAGTGGAACTTGATGTTTTTCTTTGATAGCAGCATCAACATGGATTAGCATTTTGCTGTTCTACGATGCTGCCAACAAGTTTACTGGTCCAGAATTTTATCCTTACATTGATATTAGAGCACATCAGTGTAAGCCCAAACACATCTGTCCTTATCTGCTTGAATCAGCTCATGCGGCACCCAATGATTGAAATTATACGTCAAGTTTATGCGATGTATAGTGCAACTAATGGACATGGCACTAATGCCTAACTTCTTAGCAAGCTCTGATGTGGTTGCATACTGATCTTCTTCCACAAGTTCTCAGAGATGGGCCTAATCAACATCAATAGGCTGGCCAGAGCGTTCTGCTTCTTGAATGTCATAGTCCTTGTTTTTGAACTTTCGGTACCAAACCTTAACATTGTCGTATCATACAACATTAATACCTAAAACTGTACACATGATTTGGCGACATTCTGTAGCTGATTTTTTTGCAACAGAACTAGAAGTAAATGATGGTTTTAATCTGGTGTGTAATAGTTCCATTTTAGACACCTTGTGCTTAATGCTAATGATAATTGTATACAAATTTCACAACACAGTGTTCTAAAGCAAGTCTCTTTCTTTCAAATGCCAAAATATAATTCTTTCTTTTTTGACAAAAATTTAAAAACCTTTGACAAAATATGATTAAACATGTCAACGTGAACTGTTTGCGCAGACAATATTTGTGGTGGCAGGGAAACTTTCGTTAAAACCCGATATTCTATTCAATAGTTTTAGAATATTTAAGCCAAACTACAGTGGGTTTTTCCGATTCCACATAAAATGTCTTTTGATAATATTAGCTAACTGTTCTTGAAAATCAGTGAGATTTTTAAAGTATAATAATCTCATATGTCACAATGTCTAACAGATTTTGAAGTTTTTTAATCAATCTAAAATTTGTATATTATAACATCAGCTAAAAGAACTACAAAATTCCTTTTTTTATTGTCAAAAGGTCTAGAAGTATGCAAATGCACTCAGAAGTGAGTTCAAGTTTCCTTACAACCAAAAGATCAGAAAATATCTTAAACTGATGATAAGAAATACTAAAGCCTCTTTATTAATTACTATCTAGCAAAGATCTAAAATATGAAATGGCTAAAACTCATTACAATATTTCATAAAATAAATAATTACAGTATATTACATTTTACATCTATTTACAAAATAGATTAGATTAATTAACTCAAACAAAACATATGAATGCTATCTGCACAAACTTCAATCCAGTTCTGACGAACAGAATCTCTGCCTATGCATATAACAAAAATATGAATGACAATGGGAACAAAATAAGTGTAAAGAATTAGAAATGTATTATTATTCTTTCATAATTACATTGCACATTCTCAAAATATTAGATAAAACTTAAAATCAGTAAAAAAGGAATTTTTTCTTCCAAATATTATCTTAGCTTAATAACCTAAACATTTAGAGATAATTAAAAACTCAGCATCAAAATGCACTAATGAAAATAAATAACAAATAAAATTTTTATTAGATTTTAATCTAAAGCATTATTTTGTATACATATTCTAACTTTCTACTTAGTTAAAGACACATGAAATGAAGTTCTTAAATTGATTTCATTATGAAGAGGTACAACTGATTTCATTATGCAGAACTTTCAAATGAAAAATTCTGGACGAAAGTGCAGAATCACCCACTGCTTGGCGTGTTTTTAAGAATTGAACAAACTCAGTATCCATGTTCACTTCGACCTATTTTCACTTAAAAAAAAAAAAAAAAAAAAAAAAAAAAACAAAACACAGAGAATTGCACAAATTCGGCATTGCGCACTCCCTTTGTCCATGTACATATCGATGTATTTTCACTTAAAAAGTCAAAGGAAATTGACACAAATCCAATTCTTCTTAGTCTTGTAAAAAGTGCCAAACATAACGTGACAAACAAGGGGGCGATTTTGCACTGTTATAAAATTTTCAGGCACTGATGAAACATCATAAATCATTTCATTGCTCCTTAATACAAATGATTGTAAAATCTTTTTGAACAATGATAAAACAGATAAATATTCAGGAAAATTTAAACTTTGAAAACTGTGTTGCGACTGATAAATATATTCAATGGATACATAATAGTTTACCAACAATGATGCAATCAAAATGTACACAATTTACTTTCAGATGATCTATCATCAAAGCACATCTTCTTTATTTACTTATTGATGTAATTAACAAAATAAATGAGTTATAACAAGTTTCATGTTATCTTCAAAAAAGTTTCCTGAAAAAGTGAGTAATTTTCGTGTGCTATGATAATACAAAATAGCAATCATAAAAAGAAAAAATGGAAAAAAAGATAAATCAATATCTATTACTTGCTACCAAAGCTTAAATTGCCCCGGAGCATGGCTCCAGTACTTTTGAGTTTTGGGGATAAATCATGGCTCTAACCGGAACCTGCATAAGAAAGCTCCTGCACTTCTTTAATAAAAATTAATCTAAATTTCAGCAGAAATCTGATCTTAAAAATTTTATTTTTAATAATAAAATCATATTGAAAATTGATTCTATCTTCTGAATGCATGCTCTTGGGAAACAAACCCTTGGAATGGACGTTGAAACTTTTAAGGAAAGAAAAGTGTCCACCTACATGTCAAAGGCTAATCCTCCATAAAGTACAATGAATTTATGACAGAGGGGAAATTTTTCATTCCAATGATAGTGTCTTCCCATCGAAAAGAGAACCTGGAAACTTTTTATTACAATGTAACAGGATAAGGATGGGGTGGGATAAAAATTGTCATTTGTTACTATTTTTTCAGCTAACTCTCGAATTCAGTGAAAATTTGCTTCTGTCTGCCTGACAGCTAGACAGATTCTGCCTGACAGCTAGACAGATCCTGATCAGAAAATACTTGACTCTTCTCTTTTTGTTTTCAAACCTATAGATCATCCGTTAGAATTTTCTCTTTGCTCTCTTACTCTTTATAGCATTCTCTGTATTTGCATTAGTGATGCTTTAACCATTTTAACATTTTTTATTAGTGTGCTGGAGTAAGAAAGGTTTTTACCTATCATCTCTTGAAGTAATATACATTATTCAGAGTTTAAAGTAAACTGTGGTTGAGCTATTTATTTTTTGCATGAAATTGTAATTCCAGCTGAAACCCCAAATAAGATACAGTATTTTATTTTATTTAATTATTTACCATTTATTTTATAACTTATTTTATTTTTATTTATGTCTTTACATTTCATTAAATTTTAATATTAATTGCTTAATTATTCCAATCATTCATTATTTAAATCTAATAATGAATTATTTAATTGTTTAATTATTAATTATTAGGTCTGGTGGCACAGTGGCCAGCACATCGCGCAGCAGCACTACCACAGGTCTGGGGTTCGAACCCTGGGCTGGGCAAGGTCGACTCAGCCTTTCATCCCTTGATTTCCATGCCTTGGGTCGATAAAATGAGTACCAAGTTTGCTCGGGGACTAAACACCGGGGGTCCTGCGACAAGCTGACAACTTATTCAGGGTATATGCTCATGCAACCCCGGGGCCTACGGTCAAGAAAGCAGATTTCGGGGAAAAGCAGGCCATGGCCCATTAGGGCTGTTTACGACACTCAGTTTAGTTTTTAGTTTAATTATTAATTATTAGTACGAGGGGGCTTTGTCCCTGAAGGTCTATTGTCTTTGTTTTGCAATTTTGCATCGGAACCCTATAAACAGCGTATCACTTTTCAAATCGTTGCCACCAAATACTATCGCCCTGTATTATATTTGAAGAAATTAAATAATGAAGAATCTGCATAAATGTATGTATGTTTCTCGCATTGTGATAAAACAACACTACCTAGAGCCATCCAATTTTGAATGATGTAATCCTACTGCGAATATGGGCATCTGAAAACCCAAATTTGAAATTTGTTTTATTATCGATTTCCTATTTTGTAAAACTTTATCAAATTTTTTATTAAAAAATTCACCGATTTAAAAGCGAGCAATGGCAACACTCTACGGGATTTTTAAAAAAAAAAAACTTTTTATCTCCAGCGCACAGAACTGCGTATCGGAAATTCTAAAGATATGCTCATTTTAAAATTGTTTTGCGACATTGCTTTTGAACTGAATTTTATGGTTTAAGTACAAAGAATATACTATTTAATCAATAAAGGTAACACACAAAACGTTGACAAAAAGTCCCCTTTGAATGTAATTTAAAATCTTAAACCTTTCAGATTTTTATTTTAATAGTCATTTTATTTATTTATTTATTTATTTTTGTTCTTCTTTCCTGAAAGTCTTTCATAGGGCTCAAGCACTTCTAACTTCAGGAATTAAACCCTGCTTGGCATATTATAAACCTAACTGTAATTTGAAGGGGAAAAAAGTATTCTTACCTGACATCAGGATCCCAGTTCTAGAGAAAGAAAAAAAAAAAAAAAAGGATGGTTCATAAAATATCTAAATAAATATAACCTAAATGCCAAAATGAAATTAAAAACTGAATACAATAAAATAAAACATAATATTCCATAATATGATATGTGTAAGCATTGGATATATAAGTTTCTGAAAATATTCAGATAACATTCAACAAATATCTATGACAGTCAATAATATTTTTCAAGGCAGTTCCACGTTCTCAGGTATGTGGACCTTTTGCTTAATCATCAAAATTGCAACCAATCTCGAAAGTGTAAATTTCAGATATATCATCAAAGGCTTACACAATAACTCTTTTAACAATTAAGTAATATTTTTCAAATTAAATTTCTGATGAAATAATTTACAAATATAAAAAAATACTGATAATGATTTTAAACATTAAGATCTGCAAAAATTATAAATCTTACAACATTAAATACTGAAAGAATTGCTACAGCCCAGATCAAATTAATTAATTTATCTTTTCATAAATAATTTCTTTTCCATTTTTAGTTCAAAAACAAAATGCAAATAAAAGGAAAATAAGTCAATTATTATTGAAGAAGCTGATGGAATTTATTTAAGTCAAGGATTTATTATTAATTCTGACAATTTAACTACTGTAATTTCCGAAAGAAAGACTACATCAGCATAAATGCTGCACTCAAGAAAAATGGAGGAGGGAACTAAAATTATGCAGAAACACCATATCAGTGTAAAAGCTGCAAAAAATTACATTGTGCGAGACATCGTCGTGGACCCATTAGATGCAAAATCTTGACTTATGTCCTGATATATGACATATAAGTTTAGAAAAATGCATGAAATGAAACCATAACTCAAAAATAAATTTTAGTAAAAGTATATTTTAGGGTACCCCTTGGCAATTTTTGGAGGTACATGGATACCGAATTTGTGCAAGTCTTTGGCTTATTATTTTGGCTTGCGTAGCGGCGGTTTTTGGGTCAAAAATTGCCACTACATGAGGCCAAAATAATAAGAATTGCAGAAACTCAGTATTCATGTACACATCGACCTATTTTCACTTAAAAAAAATCAGAGAATTGCACAAACTAGACTTTGTGCACTCCCTTGAGTTTGTCCATCAATATATTTTCATTTGAAAGTCAATATATTTTATTAATATATTTTCATTTGAAGTCAAAGGAGCACCCAATTCTACAGTAGAGGGAAAAAAAATACATAATCTCAATAAACTATATTTTAAACCAAACAATAAAGTAACATAAAAAAGGAAAAACCTGTTTTACATTTAAGCATTACACAAAGCAAATATCCCCTTACCTCTGTGGTGCACAAAATTCTTTAACATCATCCAAAAGCTTCCTAAAATTATCTGAACTAGAATCCGTATATCGGCATCACCACATAAATTCACAAAAATATCCTACGTATTCCGGACTGTCCGGAAAATGGCCACTGAGTAAACCTTCATTTACACACCAGTCAATTAATTAATGCACTTTTCCCCTTTCGTTCCAAATCTTACAGAAACTTCAAATTAATCTTACTACATTCAGCCATTCTACCATCTAAACAACGAACTACCTAACCACACACACCACAAGAGTCCTTACAAGACATCCCATGATTCAAAATTTCCCGGAATAATGCAAACAGTTATGTTATAATAAGGTTTCCATAACTTCAACTACTCAAGTTACCATAAATGACACAACAGCTTGGCGATAAACGAAACAACAACTTGGCAATAAATGAAACAACTTTGCGATAACGCAAGGGGTACCTTAAAGTCAACTCTAACCTAAATTTTAAGCAAGAAACTTTGAAAATATACCAACGTTCCCAAACATACTTATATTTACCCACTAAAATACTAAATCTACATTTGTAGTACTCATGTTAATCACAATAAGGAGATATTAAATTTGGATGACATACAGAAATTCTAAATTTTACTTACAAAAAGAATTAAAGCAAACTGTACATCATATGAAGCCATCAAAATCTGATTCTTCACTATCTGAATTAAAAAGATATAATAAAGCCTTGATCTATAATAGTCCAAGGTCTTCCAGATTATCATATTTCATCCTCTTGATTTAAAGTCTCTTTATCTAAAGATATAATTTCAGCTTCTTAGAAACCTGCTATTAATGATGATACTTTCACCGATTTCCACGCACTTCCTACATACTTTGCAAGTTCTTCATAAGATGCTCTATGTATTTTGTATTTTTGTTTACACATATGCAATCCTTCACTCATCCAACACTCCCACCGCTTCGGACTTCAGCTTTAAAGGATTTATTAACTGACAATCTCTTTGTCAAACCACCAGGAATTATTGCTAAGGTCGTAGACAGTTTTTGACCTCTAGTTTTCACTGTAATGAGAATTTAGTAAATGAGAATGCATAGAATCCATTATCAACAACCCTTCTGGTTGGAAAAAAAATCATTTACGTCACTGCCAAACGTTTTGCAGCCACTCATGCATGACTGTTTCGCACATCCATCCATTTTCATTTGCACACATTAGGAAAATCTCCCTTCGGAATAGTTTTTCTTTTAAAAATGATCATTGGCTTTCGCTTATCACCGTCTCTGGCCCAAGCTAACACACATGTAAACGACGTTCATGCTATGTTGTAAGCACTGATACAGTTTTTGCACCAGTTTTATCAGTTCTGTTTGCAGGAGAGTCAAAAGCTAATGGTGTTTCATTCATATTTATTATCTGTGATAGAAGATGTCTTTGTTTGTCAATAATATACATCACATATTTTAGAAAAGATGCTTTTTTATCCTGCCAGTGTATTGACAATTATTACCTGACTGTTGTTCTAGTTTGCACAGAACTATTTCTTCTTTTCATAAATCTGCTACACCAGCAAGGCCATCCTTTGAAATTATTTTTCATATGTTTCACCATAAATTTTCCTTTTAAGGGATTTTTTACAGCCAAAATTCCCATTCCCATTCCTCGCTGATCCTTTATCCAGATTGCAAGGTCATTCTCTAGATTCGGCCACCTTCACAGTATCACTTCTTTTAGCTCATTTCTGTTGTGGCATATTTTTAAGTTCTTCTTTATTAGTTCTCCAATGTTGAATGCATCTCTTCTCCACTTCAAACTCTCAAGCTGTGGCTCAATTTCCAATTTGTTCAGCACATGAAATTACATTAAGCTTAAAACCAGCAGTATAGCTTCTGTGCCATTTTAAAAAATTTTCCACTCCCTTCTCACTTAAAAACTATCCAAGAAAAATCGATTCGTGAAGGGGGAATACGCCAGAGTTCATTATTGCAATGCAGGTGGAGTCACGTCCGCCTTTGAAAAAATTGCAGCAGATTTACAATGGAAAAGGCAGGGGAGGGGAGAGGATGGATCCTGGAAGATTCATCCAATGGCTGCGAAGAGAGACTATTCAAACTGATGAGAATGCTGATTTGAAAGAGGGAAAAACACTATTGGTTCTGAGATTCAGTTTAGGTTGAATAAGGCATGTAGGTTTGTTCAAGGGAAGGAATGTACACAAAATAAAGTTTGCAAAAAGCAACTTAGTGGTCTTTTGAGTGGGAACAGCACCAAATTATGAACAATGTTCATCCAATCTATGTATAGTGACATCATAGGAAATATTTTTTTTAAGTGCATTGAAGCGCCGCATGGGTATAAATGGCATTCCCACTTAAAATTTAAGTTTTAAACACGCAAACGCCACAGCGTTTCTTTCGGAAATTATGGTAATAGTTCATAACAGTAAAAAAGATAATATTTGAAACCATGCCAAGATATGTATATTTCATACCCAAATATTGTGACAGATGTATTCTGGAATTAACTACTCTTCTTAAAGAAAAATTTACCAAAAGCGTAACCTATCCTATGAATTATTAAAGCCATAACGTACTGATGTTAAGAAGAAATGGAACTTGTGTATCACCTGTCAACCATAAAATATGACACCAACATTCCGGAAAGCATTCCAGCAGAATGCTAAAGGAATTGATGATTCTTCATTTAATAAACAATCAGTATTCACCTTACTTTGTTTTTGCAGTTTGTAAAAAGGCTCTGGTCGATTTCTATTATTTTGTTAGGTCTTCCAATTTTATCAGCAGCTATGTTTAGAACACTATGGATAAAAACCTCCTGCAGGTAAGTGGGTTAATCTTTGGAATATGGTAACAGGTAGTTTGGCGACATTTTGGTAAGGCGATAAAGGTTACTAGCTAGGACTTTAGCAGTGTACATGGATAAAGTCAAGAGTGTGCGCAATGCCATTTTTGTACAATTCTGTCATGCTTTTTTTCAGCGAAAATAGGTCGACGTGTACATGGATAATACCGTGTATGTGCAATTCTTAAAAACGCAGGAAGCAGTTTGCGATTCTGCACTTTCTCCCAATTTCGCACCTAAATCTTCGTTATGATTAAGCACTTTTGTTCCATAAAAGTTCTAGCATAAGCATAATTCGGCTAGTAGATTGTTGGAAAAAATGTTGAGAAAAAAAAAAAAAAAAAAAAAAAAAAAACATGCCTTTACTTCGTGAAAACAAAATGGCGTGCAAACAAAAATTAGCAGGTTGCTGTAGCAGGGTTGGTCGCCAAATTTTCACCAAAAAATCACCAATTTACCATAATCCAAAGATTGACCTGTAAGAGTTTCAATCTATTTAGCTGTTCCCATTAACACTTTTTTAAGGTAGGAACCATAACTTTAAAAACAATCCATTGCTTTCTATTCTTTAGAAGGCAAATCCAAAATTTAAATCTTTTATTCACAAAGAAAGGGAAGAAATACAGCATAACAGTTATATCCTTGTTCATAAAAATAAAACGTGGTTTATCAAGAAACAATCTCAATTGCATCAAACGAAAGTACCGATGTTATGAGTGTGTTGTTACATCAAACTTATGCATACTCGGAGACAGTTTCACAGTTGATGAAATAATAGGTAAGTATCAAAAGGAGTTTTCCGCTAAAAAAGTAGAAACAGATAACACCTGCATGAATATCTATTAATCTGATAAAATATACATTTGTTTGTTTCAATATATAAAACTGCTTGTTTGGTACTTACAGAAAATCTAATTGACCATAAAAGTTGGCAAAAATCCATCAACGTAAATCACTCTGGCAGCATTAAATCTGCAAGTGCATGCAAAATAGAAACAAATATGCCTTTTTCTTTATGAAGACGGCATCACATGACTTCAGCCATATATGAATCTAAGTGGTGTTGAGCTAATCCACAATGTCCAGATCTTCAAAGTTATGCCTGTAATGAGCTTTGAAATGTTCAAAATTAGCAGCTCTTATTTCATCACTTTTGTAAGTTTTCCAAGCCTAAGCAGGGCTGATCCTGGGGGGGGGGGCAACATGATGCACAACACATGGGTGGCTAAATTTAAGGACAGCAAAATGATCATCAACAAATTTCCATAAAAAAGGCAGATAATTTTAATTTGTATGTGGGCAGCCGGAAGCCTAAGATCAGCACTTAGTGAGTATATTTTATAAAACTTTCATTAATGTTATCTCTTTATTGCTTGCATAAGCATTATCACCCTTCTATCTGGGACTTTACCATAAAACACTCATTCGTTTCATTGTAAATGCCTTGTTAAAGACACTTGTTACTTTTCACAATAAGGTTGGACTTTCTGAATTTTTAAAATTTTATTTATTTTTTGGGAAAGGGTGGGAGGAAGTGGCCTTGATAAAAGATTGTACGTACAAACTTCTCTTAAATAACTGTTCCAATTGATGCCAGTCTATTCACTCAACGCTAATTCTTCTTACACTAATACTGCTAATTCAACAATTTTATCATTAGAGAGTGATGTATCTCAGTCTTTCAAACAGCTGGACCCCAATGAAACACGAATTCTTTTTAATCATGTTTTATTTGAGAAAATAACCATACCTACACTAATACTACCACTGAATACGTGTTTTTAAATAAAATGAATTCATTCCAAAATAACTGCACATCATCACTACTTTTGGCTTGATATATTATTGCTCACCATTCAGCTTTCTTATGTTATTTTGAAAAAATTGCAAACTATGTTTTTGCAAATATTCCAATTATAAACACACAGAACTCAAAGTTTGGGTGAAATTGGCATTGTCAAGACTATGTTCTATTTATAAATAAAAATGTTTTTAGATAGCTTAGTATCTACAAAATAAAAAAATTTTAAAAAATGCATTCCAATTTTCTCCGTTATTATGCTTATCTAATAAACTTTTAAAAAACGTAAATAAGAACTTTCTTTACCAATATGCTATGTATTTTGTCCCTTTCTCTTAAGAATTACACAACCAAATTATAAACTCCATTTCAAGTGATAAAATCCTTACAATAGAAATATCTTAATATAATGAACAAATCTGTCACGCCATCCCTGCATTATAAAATTTTGAAGCATATATTATTTCAGAAAAATGCGCCATTTCAACAACAATCTGTAATTTGTACTTTAACATAGATATCTGCTTTAATATTCTTCATAACAGATCTACTTATCCTATTTTATGTTAAATAACAAAACAAATCGCCTTATCAAAATAAATAAATAATTCCAAAAGTATACTTCATCATAGTGACTACAAAATGTTCACAATATGCCAGAAACTTTTAAAGTATACAAAAATACACGAATCACTACTATAAATTCATCAATTATGAACGAAAAAAATTTCGAATAAAACAAATAATCTTACCTCATTCAATGCCAGACTAGCTGATGTATGCATGACTAAAGAAAGTTTTACATTAGTCAATAAATCCTGATATACAGCTTTCTATACATGTTTAAAGAATTAATCGCCAGTACTTACTTTCAATATGCACAAGACCAATAGAAAATCTACCGATCTCGGGAACTTGCTTTAAAAATTCATCTGTAATTAAGTGGCAACCTCTGAGAACAGGACGAATGTTAATTTTCTTTTGAAACCAAGCTGAACCAAACTTAAAATTTGAGCTATCACCAGAAACATTTGAACGCGACATTTTCTACCTAATAACAGACAGACAAACGAAACACAAAGCAACCCCCAGAGTGCTTTACATCTTTTTACACGAAAGGCAAAATATGCTAATTCAAATACAAACTTTTTCTTAAAAAAAGGGGAAAAAAAGTTAAAATTTTACGTAGACAAAAAGAAATTCTGTAAATTACATAAAATATCTTTGTTTGTGTTCTTTGAAATCGAAACCAAAACCTGTTTCAAATGACTTGACTGTTTGACAAACCTGTCTCAGAAATCGAAATTTATTTATTTACCTATGACAGATAAATTTCAGTTTAAAATATTTAGACTTAATATGATTATGTTGACATTACAATTAGAATTTAAATTATTAACATTATGCAAGTAAAGACATTCCAATCATTCACTTATTACCTTTTTTCTTTTAGAATTGTTTGCATCTGCTTCTTGTAATAACTTGTGGTGCCTTTGGAAAAATAATATACTGGCGATTGAGAGCAATCAGCAAATTTAAATCATAAAATTATTTAGCATATTAATAGTTACTGTATAAGGAAAGTAGAAAGGCAACATCTCAACTTAAAACCACGTATCAACGACACCTACTTTGCCTTACTTGACCTTCTCGTATCGAGCATTCCGGAAGCGTGCTGCGTCTTCGGTACTTGTAGAAATTTTTCATTAAGGAGTTATTTTAACTTTAATTACATCTGAAAATGTATGCTGTTGCAACTCCTTTCATTAGAGCTATGATGACCTCAGCTGTTCGGTCATCTGCTAGGCCTTTAAGTGCAGCGGTCACTACCATTCGAGCTCCTGAGGAGCCATTTCGTACATCACAACCTAAGGTCTTGCCCCGTGTTACCCTCTCTTCATCACTGATATCTCAATTTTCTCGTGGTATCCATACTAGTGCTGTACAGAAAGATATTGATTCTGCAGCCAAATTCATTGGAGCTGGAGCAGCTACAGTGGGTGTTGCGGGTTCTGGAGCCGGTATTGGATCAGTATTCGGCAGCCTTATCATTGGATATGCTAGGAATCCATCTTTGAAGCAGCAACTTTTTTCATATGCTATCTTAGGTTTTGCCCTGTCTGAAGCCATGGGTCTGTTTTGCTTGATGATGGCATTCTTGTTGTTATTTGCTTTTTAATTTTCAATATTATGTAGATAAATCATTGATTTGTACCATTACTAGCGTCCTAAATGGTAATTAAAAAATTGTCTAGATCAGTATGTAATTGGCAAAATAAATTCACTCTTAATATACTTTTCTGTGTTTTGATGTATGTTTTTTAATCATTTTTATTAGAAATGTTGTTTTTTTTTAATCATTTTTATTAGAAATGTTGTGTATGAAAAGCTTGGTTTATTATTCTAAATAACTTTTAAAGTTTTACTTTCTTGAAAACAAGGTCAAAGTTTTTTTTTGTTATTGTCGTAATAATAAGGACTAATTTATCTTATTTTTTTTTTTAATATTACTCTTTCTTTTCTATTTAGCAGAAACTAAAGTGAAAATGTGTATTTCAGTTTAAATCGAAGTTAATAGTTGTTTATATTTTTATGTACGTGAACTGAAATCGGAAAACTTGAGAGTATTGAGAAGTAATATAATGCATTTAATATATTTTAGTTCTCAACTATTTCTTGAAGGTTACTAGTTTGAGAAGTGGTTAATGTAAAAGTAAAACTATGCAAAAAAAAAGTTTGCCACTGATGTTAGAAGCCTAAGTTGAATTTTTGCTTAGTTTTATTTATTTATTGTAAGCCGAAATTGCTTAACATTTGTTTCTTGATTTAAGAAATTTAAAATATAAAGATAGCTGTAATTTCACATCATTTGAAGAGATAGGAATATTGTGTAACCACTGATATATGAAAGGAAAATCTAGAAAAAATTGTTATTAGAAATTTTATTGTAAAGAAATTGGGACTTCAATTTTACGAAAACTGTTTTGGTTGCCTTTGATACTGTGAAATCTTTATTCTGACATAAGTTGCTGTAAAGCTTCTATAACAAACATTTCATTTGCTAATATGTAAGTGGTATATAAAGGTAAAATATTTTATTTTTTAAAATCACAGTTGAATGACTTTTGACATGTAGGTAGAATCATTTTCTGTTTTACATGGAAAATTTGATCAATAAAGCATATCTGTTGGTTTAAAAATTTCAAGTCTTGTTTCTGAGAAATTAATCGCAAGCGAATTTGTTTAGCAACTTCAATTTTCTACATTATTGTGTACTGTATTTAAAAACACTTATTTTGATAAATATTTATTTCAATTAATGATTTGTTTGATTGCTGTGCATAAAATATAATTATAAATTGACACTTGTTTTGTGCGATACCATTCAAAGTAAAGTTATCTCTTGCTGTTGTAACCATGTGTCTAATAGACAAAAATCATGATACAGTTGTCATCTTTTCCGCTAAAAGAATTTTGTGTATATGGGATTTAACTGCATTGAACCTTATTTTGATTTATATCATATATATCCATTACGTGAGTTATGTATAATATCAAGGTGAAATGGGTGTATGTTCAGATTTAAATAAGTATATCAAATTGAAAGAAAGCAAAAATTTTTCTTACTTAACATATAAGTACTTAAGGAGGGATAAAAAGAGCAAAATTAAATGGCGTTAATTGAAGGCAGTACTTCAATTCATGCTGTATGTTGAGACTAGTATACACATTTGCATTCTGTTTTCCTTCTTGTCATGATGTAAAGATTCCTAAATGGTGATGAAAGTAGAATGTCTTATCAGAGGGACTAGGAGGTACAAAAAGGGGCCAACACATAACCATCCGTAGAGAAAACGGTAATCATTGAGATGAAGAGATGTGGCACTATCTGCATTATTTAGTCTTAATTAAAACAGTCATTGTGGAAAATAAAATGGAGAATTATATTTACAGATTGTTGAAATCTCGAAATAATCTTCATAGCGAATTGTAGTTTATCTTCCCGAGTTTGTTTCTTGAAAATCGTGACAAATTTCAAAATGTTGCTTAAGAAGCTGGCAAAATTAAGCATTGTAGATTCAGAAGAGAATTTACCATCATAGTAGGAGAGGATGAAACGTGCAGAAGCTTATTCATCAAGCGATTCCTTCCTTGACTTCAGAGCGTTCTCGATTGGTGTATTAGTCAACTCTGGAGTTGGCTTCTATTGAGATTTTCTGTTATGAATTTTTATGTAAAATTCACGTTCTTTTGAAAGATGAAACGTGACTTAGTTCACTACAAGAACAAGTTGGTTTATCCGAGTTCTTTAAGTCGTAAGTCAGATGATTTTTCCCACATTTAAGACATCAAAGTGCATTATTACAGAAAAGCTGTCATGTCTAAATCCTAGGGAACTGAAACAGATCATAACATTTCTGTTCATTCTAAAACATTGAAGGGTTTTCTTTTTATATATTTTTCATCCATCATTTTCCTTGTCAGTAAAGCATAAAACAGAAGAAGCTTTTTAGAACATATGGTTTCTTAATGAATAGAATATCTTGATCAGAGTTTTTTTTTTTTTTTTTTGAATGTCAGGGTTAGAATCATCAGCAAATTCCCGCATTACTTACTACCTTAATAGAAGCATTACGTTTTAGTCTAGTCTGAATGTGCTAAACTGCACTTTATTCTTTATAAAAATGGCTGAAGCAAAATCGCAGTTTGCGGCAGAGTCTGAGAAAATATCAATTTTGTCCTGTGTGATTACCTCAGTGTAACCAGTTATAGTGTGTTTCACGAACAAACTTCTTACTTCATTCTTGCATACTTCCAGTCTTGGACAGTGATCGGAAGTAGTTGTTCTTTTTTTAGTGTCGCAGTGTTCATGAATACTTGTGCATGATTTTCTTTATTTATAGGCGCTGTGTCTTTAAAGTTCAGAAGTTTCTCAGCAGAGAAGCAAACATTGTGCAAGTCAAATTTATTAGTTATAATGACAGTAGGAACATCCTTTTGGGAGGGCATCAGCTTGGCAGTTTTTCTGCAGTGTGCCCAGTCATCTTTCCTCGATGAAAGAATCGTCTTTTGAAGAAGGTTCTGACTTCACTTGTTTCTTGGGAGGATCCCTTTCATTTTTTGGCCTTTTTGGTTTCCATTTCAGGGATTTCTGGTAATTTAGTTCCCATTCTTTATTGACAGAATTGGTCAGCTGTGTTTCTGTGACTACGCATCAGTTTCAGAAATTCCATTTTGCTTTCCATGGATGATCATCACAATTTTTTCCTTGCTACTTCTGAGTTGCAGCTGCTCATTAAATTTAAGAGTCTGAGAAATCTGCACTTCTTCATTATTCATTTTCTGTTCATAATAGCCTAAATTAGCCAAAAAATCCTTCACTTAAGCAACATTTATTGAAAAAGTATTGGAGTCGTGCTGAAGAGTAATATGCACGAAACAGGGACTGAGAACAAGCACCACGTATTGCAAGTGAAATGCAGGAACATAAAACAGTGCAACCTTCATGTATAAAAGCACAAGTCCAAATTTGTGATTGAAAGCAGTTATAATACATGGTGGTAATAAATATTTTAATATCAAGTTATATTCACTGAAATTACAAAGATATCATAAACTGGAAAATTACTGCCCATGGAAACTGAAAGTATCCATTAATATAAAAATACCTTGAATTATTGGAAATAAAATTTGTACTCTTGAATGATCCTATAGAATTGTTCTGGTGTTTAGTATGTTATGAATATTTTATAAGGTAAAGCATATGAATATATATTAGCTATTCGTTATTAAAGCTTAGATTGAATGGGGAAATGTTATTAAAGATGCTTGGGAAAGAATATAATTGAATGGTTCCATAAAGTATCTTTAAATGTTCTACAAACTGAATATAAAGCTGCATTTAACTTGTTCATTGGCTTGAAATGTGGAATAGAATGCTTTTCACATTTGTCAGTTCATTCTAGTGCTGAAACAGTCACCTTGAAATTTTTCATACACACTCACTAAATAGCTCTTCATATCAGAAATGCTTTTAATGTGGTATTATGGTTTCCTGTTGTTATATTTGTTAATTAAAATAGGTCCAGTTTCTTCTGTATAAACAGAAGGCGTGTTGTATCAAGATTCAAAAGAGATGTTAGAATGAAATTGAAAGTTTTTTGCATAATGCACTTTAACTTGAATATGTAAATTTCATCAGAATATCCAGGAAAGCATCATCTAAAGGACAGAAAAATCCTAGTTTATATATTTATTTTGTTGAATGATAATTAAAAATTCTTAGTTGCATCTTTCGATTTTAGAATTTTTTTATGGATTAAGACTAATATATTTGATGCATTTGATAAAATCAGCTTGCTTCAGTTAGTCATCTCATTCATATATTAATGAAGTGTTGCTGTCTGAAGTTTTATTTTACAAAGTTGCTCTACTTTTAAAACTGACTGAAATAACTAATTCCACAATTAGGAAATTTGCTGATGCTCATGCAAGTCTTTTTTTTAAACTAATGAAAAATTATTTTCAAGATTAAACCTCTGGCCTTGATTAATATTTGAGAAATGCATTTTTAGAAAAAAAAAACAGACATTTTAAATGCCTAGAAGTATTCAATAAAATCTGCTTCAATATGTAAGATTAAATTTTGCTTTAATTTAAATATCTCGAACTGGAGAGCTTCCTTTCTCAATCATAGTTTTCATAAAATTTTTTTTTTTATTAAATGAATTTTTTCATCAAAGTTTTTAAATAAATGATTTATTCATCAAGCAAGTGGTTTAAAATTAGATAAAAAAGCAACATTATACTAATATTGCTTTTTTTTTATTATTTTTAAATAAATGATTTATTCATCACAAGTGGTTTAAAATTAGATAAAAAAGCAACATTATACTAATATTGCTTTTCTTAGTCTGCTGTCAACCAAAAATCTTCTATGCTCATTATTTTGTGAATTGTGCCTGAGGCAAAAATCATGTTTGTAGTTGTTGAAAAGGGGGGGGGAAATCGTGAAAGGTACAAATTTAGTGAATTTGTATAGTATTTATTGAAGGGGGAAATGAGACTTGAACCTGCAATGTTTTCGGCTTCAGCTGAATCTTGGTCCCAACGTGTTAGCTCAGTACTAAAGTATTTTGTAAGTGATAAACTAGTTTTTCACCACCTTCTTCAGCAAACTGAATAAATGTATCTCCTTTGATGCTAACGGGGGGAAAAAAAAATTTTAGATACCAACTTCATTACAACAGCTCCACTTCAGAGACTTGAACCAATAATCTTTGGCTCAAGAAACCA